TAGTGTAACGACCCCGGAAATTTAAAATGAAATATGTGTATTAAAAAGGTCAAATGCGGAAGCGTAATAAAAATTTTGATTAAACATCCCTTACACTAAAACCAAAAACGTGCTCAAAGTATAAAAGAACAAACTAACTAAAAGAGAAACTCGAAAATAAAAGTTATAAATATGACTACGGAGTCTTCAGGCGTCCCCTTCGCCGTCTTCTTGCGGAACGAGGCCGGGAACAATGTCTTCCTGATCTAAAATGATTAAATAAGGAATGAGCTACACCAGCCCAGTAAAGACATCATACTATCTCACCGTCACAGAGGTAAAGGTGGGTAGAAAACACAAAAAGACCAATGGAGCATAGTTTACACCAAATTCTTTTATCAATAATAAAGTCATTTACTATCCACTTACCTCGGTGAAATTCATAAAACAATATACGAAAGCAATAGCATTATCATCATCATGAAATCATAGGAACTGTATAACATAATACTTATCACGCCTTTTGCATCTTAATCATTACACAACATATTTTTTCTTATTTACCAGCCTACTAGTATCCATGGGGATCCATAGAGGTCCCACTACCCGTGAACCTTTAACACTTGTAATCAGATTCCAGGGCCGTCCCCATACCCCATCCGGTATGGGCGCCAAAACTATAAACCTCAATACCCCGTCCGGTATGAGGGTGAAACGGGCCGTCCCCATACCCCGTCCGGTATGGGCGCCAAAACACATAAGGTCTCCATACCCCGTCCGGTATAAGAGACCACAATCCCGGTAGGGTTCCCTACGGACCCGGTCCGTCCACCATCTCCTAAGATATCTAGTCAGGCTGACCACATTATACAATTATCAATTTACATAACCTTTCATTTCCCTTTTCCTCAGTCAGCATCATCAAATCACACACAAACAAGCAACCAGTAATTCATGCCAAACCAAACAACATACAACATCGGGTTCTCAGTCATTCAACTCATAATCAATAAAACAGTGATATATGCACACGAAACTATGAAATAAAAATATCAGACCTCATACTGCATTTAAAACTGTAAAATATGTCAAACAACAGCTGACCGACAAACACACCAGACTCGGACTCCATTAACGACCTTAAACAATTTTACACATCTATTGATTCATGAAATACCGTTTTATCATTTATTGAATTTTAATACCGTGATAGAAAATAGGGTGAGGGGTCCTTACTTGTTTCGGGGTCCGAATACGGCTCTACAGTGCGCCTGCAGGCTGTCCTTAATTTTTCCTGAATTTTTTCCGGGGAACTGAAACGCACTACTGGTACCTGCACGTGTCCCAAAAAATCCCAAATTAGACCCAGGGCCCCTTTTGGCCAATATCGAAATTCCGGCACGGCGGCTCTGCCGTGCTCCAGCGACGGCGCCGCCGCAAGCGGCGGCAATTCACCTCGGGTTGGCCATTTTCGGCCTTTTCCGGCCGAATTCGGCCACACTTGCATCGGTCCCTGCTATAAAACAACCCTAGGGCCCTCGGGGGGCCAAAAAATTACGAAAAACCGAAGCTTACCGGCGGCGGTGCTCTCGGGTGCGGTGGCTCTCCGGCGAGGTTCGTGTTTTGGTGATTTGGCTCTGATCAACCTGTAGAGAAAAGAATGGTGATCACGGTGATATAAAAATTGTATCAAACGGAGGCCGGGAAGGGCCTCATCGGAGGCAAAAACCGAGGAGGGGCGCGGCGGCGCCGCTGGGTTTCGACCGTGTTTTCCAGCCGTTTGGCCGAGATTTTGGCTCCGATTTGGCCACAGGGGAACTCAGCGTGGAAAAACGAGTCGGGAGTATGAAATTTACCTCAATCGGCGGTCGAAAAACTCCCCGGTGCGGCGGCGGGTGGCGGCGGCTGGCTCCTCCGGCGTCTGGTTCATCTTCTCCGGCGAGGGCAGGCGGTTAGGGTTTTTGTGGTCAGGTATGGGGGTTCTATTTATACCCTTTTGCCTTTTGATCACAGCCGTCCATTTTGATTAAATCTGGACCGTCCGTTTTTGATTGAATCTGGGCCGTTCGTGCGCGTGCATCTGGGCCGTCCGTGCGCGCGCTTGATCTGGGCCGTCCGTGCGCGCGGGGACGCATCTGGGCCGTCCGATCGTGCGCACGCGGATCGCCCACGTGGCCCGTTCCCGGGTCGACGTGGTCTCGCCACGTGGCAGGTCCTGGTTGGCCAGGACTACTGACTGGGCCGCTGACGTGGCTGCTGACGTGGCTGATGACGTGTCATAATTTTTCTAAATTGCGTTTTGATCCCCGGTTTCCGATTTTCTTTTCAAAAATACCCCCAAGATCCTAATTTTCACTCATTTTTCTCAAAATCAATTTCAATTAAATCCAAATAATATTTTTACCCAATTTTACAATTATTATTATTTTAAATTATAAATTAAACTAAATAAATAAAATAAATAAAAATTAAAATTAATAAAAAAAAATAATAGTAAAAATGCTAAAATTATTGGGCGTTACAAGTAGGATAATACATATGATAAAGGTACGGTGGTGACATCACACTAATGGGGAAACAACCTAGGAAAGGAGGACGAGATGAGGAACAACTACCCACAGCTCTTCGAGGTAATATAGCGAAAATTAAAGGACCGTTTTTTTTTAAATAAGGGGATAATGTAATAACTGAGAATAAATATATATATATACATAAATGTAAAATATAAAATAAAATAGAGGGAAGGGTGAGAGGGACAGTTTAGATTAGGGGAAAGGAAATAGACAGTTGGGATGAGTCACAAGGGTGAGTATAAATAAGTTAAGGAGATAGAGAAAAAAAAAAGAAAAAAAAAAAAAAGAGAGAAAGAGAGGCGTCGATCGAGGAAGGATATGGAAAGAGAGGGCTGAAGAGGGAGGAGCTGATTCAAGTGAGTTGGAAGAGAACTGTGGTTGAGTTGATAACGATGGAGGCAAGAGATATTGTAAATCCAAACTTCCAAACATTGTAACAGTATCTAGCATTTGACTTCTTACGGTGGTGTAGAGCCGACGTAGAGAGTTGGAGGAAAAGATATGAGGTTGGGAATGAGAGACTATGGTTACAGGAAGATTCGATTGGAAGTGTTAGTGAAGAAGAAATGGAGAATCCGTGAAGGGATGAGGAGACGGGTGCGAGAAAGGTTATCGAGAGGGGGAGAGCGAGCGATTATGTAAATAAGCGCAGGAAAGTGAATCTTAGACGATTTACGGATGGGTATATAAATGCATAAAGGTTACAGTAGGTTGGAGCGTAGCGTGATGTAGGTGTATAGTGAGGTCGGGTGATTTTTGGGTAAAGATGAGTGTGGTGGTGGCTGTATTAAACGTGCGAAGGTTGGGTGTGAATGTGAGGTAGTAAGGAGACTAATAAAAGTAGAGGCTAAAAAATGGAGATATTGATGTAGGCATTTAACTAGATTCCATGCTTTGTTCCATGTTTAAATTTACTTTACTGAACTTGT